AACTCGTTCTAATCCCGTCTTTCTTATACGTTTGGTGAAAAGCTACGTTCTAACCTTCTTACCGTATTTCTAGAGATAAGGTCTTGGTACTGCTAGAAATTTGTATAGCATGCCAGAACCGCGACCGAAATGCGTAAAAAAGGTGCTACATGCCGGTAGAGGTACTGTCCCTGAATATCGTACGGGTACGAAGGCCGTCTTTCATTATGAAACGTTAAAACCCAAAGATCCGGTGAAGCCAGAAGTAGGAATGCCAGAAAACAGGTAATATCAGGTTCCATTCTTGCTGAAAAAGTAAAAAGTCTTGTAATGTTAAGGGACGATTATGACATCATAGATAACACACGACAAGGCTGGCCCCATGGTTACGGCAAGCCTTTAGAACTGATATTTGGCAAAAAGTTTCAATTGCCTATTTTTGAAACTTGTCTGCGATCAATGCTTGTGGACGAGGTGGGGATTTTTTTGTTGTAAATTCTGATTTGCATGATTTACGGGTCTTATTTAGGTATCCCAATTTGATGTTGAGCTCACCGAACTGTGCACTTATCCAATGGTTTCGAAGAAATTGCGAGATCTTGTCAAACCGAACGAGCATGGTCACTCTCATGCTCATGAGCACATGTGTGCAGCCGCGCTATCAGCTGGGTAAATTTTTTTGTAAATTTTCACTCCGGATAATCATTATTTCCTTTGCAGAACTGGATATCAGGAACTAGACGACTTGATGAGAGATCCCCGTCCTCTCCGATTCATATTTCACCTCTTATCGGTCACACAACCAGAACAGTATGAAGCAGAAGGCTGGCAGCTTACATCAGAAGAAAAGATTCAGTCTGTGGAGACCCTGCGATTGCAGGGAAACAAGCTATTTGCAGAGGTTTGTAACAGATTTTTTTCTACCTTTTTTCAACTGCTTGAATAGATTGAGGTCGACTGAGTCTTTTGCAACCAAGATAAAGAAATCTACATGGTCAGAATTAATCAAGAAATATTGCATTCCACAACCTCTTATGGAAATTGTGATTCATTTGTAAGAGAAGTCTGCATTATTTTTGTCTCAGATTTCTCAAAGAATCTTTTGAGTTTGTATACCGAAATTATTGCCCTCCATGTGTCAATCGCTTTTGCATTTGATTACGATAAGAAAGAGAATCCTTATCATGCGCAAGTAATCCTTGTATTTTGTTTTTCCGATCACTATTGATGCTCAGATTTGTTAGTTGACTCCTCTACCCTTCCCCCTTTTTCTGACATTTTGGAAGTAACTGCACTTTCTCCAAATGTGCCACAAACATAAGACCAGTTCGTTTAAGTTTGGATAAATGGAGCTGTCTGGTGAAATCTGCGCAGAATCAGATCATCCCCATTTTCAGTATACTCTAACGAAAATAGTTAGAAGGGGCTGAAGGTTAGATTTTGTACCTTTTTGATTTGTCCTAAAATCTGAAACAAGTCGCCTATGAAATGGATGAAGGCGAAGAATTGACTAAAATTGTTTATTGAAAGTGCTAAATCGAAACGACTTCATTCTGATTTTTCTACTGCTTTACTTTATCAAATTTTTCGTAATTGCTGATATGTGTTTTCTATACATATCTAAAAAATTCCAGCCTAGTCTAGCCTACTTTTGTCGCAAGTGAAGGTCTAAGTTGAGAATCTATTTGCGTAATTTCAGAAAGAGTATGAAGATGCCATAGAAAAATATCGAGAAGCTTTGGGAAGATTAGATACTTTGATACTCAGAGAGAAACCAGGTGAACCAGAATGGGAGGAATTGGATCG